TTTTTAGTGATAAATTAAAGCATAAGTGCACTAAATCCTTTGACATTCAGCTGGACTCTCGACATTGATGCCCAGATGTGTTTGCTTTGATAATACTGACTCTTACCCTCATGCCTTCAAATCTGGAGAGGGCTCTGAGGGGCCGCAGGGCCCGCAGCGTCCGCAGGGATTTGATGGCTGCTAAGTCTGAATAACCCAATGTGTTGGCTACCAAACTGACCAATGAGACCTGGAGGAGAGAGAGAGAGAGAAGACAGAAAAAGATAGGGACAGGAATATAGAGACAGAAGAAGGAGGAAGGGAAAGAAAAGAGAAGCAGGACAGTTAACTTCTATTCTAATGAAGGGAAAGTGAGAGAAAGTTCTGATCCAGGAGACGAAGCTGCAGTTGAATGATGATGCCTGAAAAAGGAAGGGTGATGGTTTGTGATCACTGAGCTCATGACGAAGGACTCACTGCTACAATTTTTTTTATCATTGTTGAAACCTTTCTCAGGTGAAGCTGCAAGCAGACAAGGAAATGGTTATTTTACAGACTCTTCTAGGAAGCCAGCACAAAGAACCGGAGAAATGAGAAAGAATAAATGTGTTTATTGATTGGTCGAGTGAGTCCTGAGTGATCCATGGCTTTTAAAACAAGACAATAAAGCAGACTGTTTTGTGACACTTTGATAAGCCACTGAGTGCTTATAGAGATGGATGTGCAGATCACTGAACGACTGCTTTAAACAGCTTCAGGGTTTATGTTTAGCTGTAAAAGGGATGGTTAGGTGTTAAACATACTACCTGTATCCAGAACAGTCTGAGATATCACCTCTGATTAAAGCCAGGATCGCATCACCTCCCAATCAAACCCAAAAACATTTAAAGCCACGACACATATGATTTCCAGCACCGAGCAGCAGGTCTCAGGTCGGTCGAGCTGCAGGTGAACGCAGCTCATTCTTACCCTGATACCAGCGAAGCGGGACACAGCCCGGAGAGGACGGAGAGCTCTTAATGTCCTCAGCACACGCATGGTGGTGATGTGGTCCACTGAGATGTACTGAGCCATCAGACCCAACACTGAGATCTACAGGGTTCGGTTACACAGTAAACAACAACATTTCTACACATAAATACAAAGTAGCTTCAGACTGTGCAAAGAACAAAAACATGATCGAAATAAAGGGGACGTCCTCTGCTTTTCTGTCATTTATAATTTAATAAGTAATGAGGTCGTAGCCCATGCTGTGAGCAGATAAGCTCCATCCACCAGCTATTTAAATCTTCAGTTTAAGATGGGCATCCAATCAGGAGAAAGTTGGCTTAAAGGGAGGGGCAGAAGCTTAAACAACTTGTTTCCAACTGAAGATGAGCTGACAGGCTGCAATCAACCAACAACGTCTGGGGTTGGAAAACTTGCAGATCCACTAATGTCCTCAAGTGGACATTACTGGAACTTTTCCATTTTTCTATACAGTGTATGTGTGCTACAACAGCACCAGTAAGACAAATAAGGATGAATTTGAACTAGGAATCATGCAAAGCTACTTCAGAGAATCCAAGAAGATATTC